ACTCCTTTCGGATGTCTTCTCGAAGATCGGTTACGGTAACAAGGGAATCCAAAATTTTTAAAAGTACCTTAAATACATAGTTTTTGTTTATTAATTAAATAAAATGCCATTTCAACAAAAATTCACAAAAAACGAGTTTTTTTTCTGACACGCTAAGAAATACTACCCCGTAATGAAAGAAAAAGTTTGTATTTGCTTAAAAAGCAGAAAAACGTTGCCTACATCTAGGCATATTTCATCGAAGACACACACCTTTCTAAAAATTGTATTACGTTCAAAATGCTCATTTGCGCTGGAAATTATGATATATTTTTTTTAAAAGGAATATCTTGGAAAACTTTTCTTTTTGTAAAACTTTAGTGCGCACATTATTAATTAATTTGTTTTTTAGAAGAACTGTACTGTCAAATAATCAACTTGTTAACCTTAATAAAACTTCATAATTTATTGATTTTTATTCTAAATAAAGCTAGTGTATTAAAAAGTACTTGTCACCGGAACCACCTTCAGTAAGCATTGAATGATGCTATACATCCCAGCCTCACTTATGCAATGAATTGAAGTTAGAGAATTGTACTTAGTTAACCAAAGCTCAAAGTACATTTTCTATTATTTTAACCTTTACTCTAAAGTGATGGCCAGCTTTTCTATCCTCAGCAAGTTCCGAACTAATTTTTATATATTTTTTCCACCGACTTAAAATATTTAGTGGTTCTATTCCACGCACCAAATTAATAAGTAGCGCCCAATAAGCGCCACAAAAAAGAAAGACTTAAGAAACACAGCTTAAAAAGTATACATAGCTATAATTCAGCCGCCCACACAACTATAAAAATGTCATTAATGAGTTAATGGTTTAAAGATGGATGCTCTTAGTGAAAACTTTATTATAGTTTGCTTAGGAACAAATTTAAATAAAACATATTAATACTTTTACGAATTAGTTTACCTAATGCGCTCCGCTACACTTCGTTAAGTTCAACAAATTTTGTCATTTATAAACACTTAAATTCGCATAACAAATCGCTTAAAACACCCGGAAGCCACCATGAATATTTAAACAAAAAACAACCGCAACAACAACAAAAACAAAAACAATAAAAAAGCTGACAGCATGAGGCGCACCAGGGCTAAGGTTGGCGATAATGATAACTGCTAGCAATAATGGCGGCAGCAGTTGCAAAGTTTTAGTTTTCGCGATATTTTCTGTGTATATAAATATATATATGTATATATATATATAATATATATATATTTATTTTACTTTTTGCGCCGCTTTCGCAGTTTGTCGCTGACAGTGAAATGAGCAAATTGAGATTTATGCAGCAAGAGTAATGCAATACTTCAATGCTGGCGGAAAGTTCTTCCCCGAACTAGCATATTTCCATAATGTACCGTAATAAATGTAAATGTATAAACAAATTTTTAAGTATGTATGGCAATGGGCACTCAAATGTGTTAGAAAAAGTGTACAAACGAAGTAGCAGTACTGAAAAAAGTAGAGACTTCTTGCTGCAGAAGTCAGTCAGTCGTCCGCCACTGGCATATTGCATAATTACAACTAATTAGTTTTGCAAATTCACTAGCTTGACACTGCAGTGCGGAGTATGAAAAAAAGTTATTTAAATTTTTTTCTAACTGCCTTTAACTTCGAAGAAAAACTTTACAACTTAATTGGCTTTGAAGTGGCGGCATTAGACGGATTGTGGGTATAATTGTTGTTGCAAGGAAATCGTGCAGTTAATTTGCTGCAAGACAATTTATAAACTTAAAATTTCAAGCACTGAGCAGTAGCTGTGAAAAAAAGTTAAGTGAGCAACGGTAAGCTACTGGAAGTAATACTAAAGTAATAAAGTATATGAAAGAATTTTAGTGGGACACGACGAGCATATAACTGAGTTATTAATAATTTTAAAATTATCTTTAAACAAATATTATTAGATATTTTTATAGAATTTAATCTTCTAAGCTATCAACACTTACAATAAATTTATTTAGCAATATAGGTAATATATAGACTATTCATTTAGAAATTAATTTATATTTCGTAATTTTTTTAAACTACTTAATTTTAGTTTTAATTGAAGCTATTTTAAAATATTTTATTTTAATTGTAATTTTAATGTTAACTGTAATTTTAGTTGTAATTTTAATTTCAATTTTCATTTGAAATTTAATTTCAATTTTAATTTTAATTTTTATTGTAATTGTACTTGTAATTTCCATTTTCCTTTTCAATTCAATTTTAATTTTGATTTTAAGTTTATTTTAATTTTAGTTTTAGTTTTTATTATAATTGAAAATTTAAGTTTAAGTTTTTACACCCTAATTTAGCCCTTCCTTAATTGTTCTTTTTTTTTCCACTAACATTAAAATCAATCTTTAAAAATACCTTAAACTTATTAGGTTTCATAGTGTTCATTAGCTGCCCGGAATTTTTTTTTTTTTATTTCTCTTTTTGAGGAAAAAATAAACGTGCCCAATGCAAAGTAAAATCATACTCAGTTCCTCACCACTGAACCACCATATCCTAGACTTTCATCCAACAACATCACATAAACCTTGTCTAAATATCTGCATATTTCGTTTATAACTACGCCTTTCCGAAACTTATTACTCTCGGTTGAGTTTATGAATTAATTACTCTTTTCTTTCATACAATTTCGATAAAGCTATGTGCTTTTATTTGATTTGTATATTTTATATATTTTAGTCAAATAAAAGTTATGATTTTATGGATTTAACATTAAAAATATTGGCGATTAAAATAACTAAAATGTCGGTAAAGTCAAATACATTAAGTTGGTGCTCGAATTGGATAAAATTTAAAAATTGCGCCTACATGTAGGCAAGATTTTCTGATTAATAAATTTTTATTGAATTAAATACCTAAACTAAAACCTTGTCTTTACCTAGGATATTTTTATGTATAATGGTACCATTTGGTATTTTATTCAACACTTTCACTTCGGCATAAATGTGAGACAAAATCTTGAATTTTATAATATATAAAATATATTTAAAAAACATATTTAGATAAACCAGTAAAATTTTTTAATATTTTTAGAAGAAATTGCAATAGTAAAAGCTTACAACCGTTTATACAGAACTTAACTTTTTTTAACTTATTTTTACTAATATTTTTAATTATGAATATTCTAATATAGGACTTCCACATTGACTCTTAAATATTTTATTTTTTTGTGAGAAAGAATATCTATAGAAACTAGCTACTTCTTATATTCCAAATATCACATAGAGCGAACTAATAATTATGAAAAATTAATAAAGTCTCCTTATACTAGATATACCAATATACCTTATAAATATATAATCGTACATGGCGTATACGTAAAACGTGTAGAAACGCATGTACATATCCTTTGCTTCCAATTAACACGTCCTTACAAATATAAAATGTAAGTCCTAAAGCAACAAATAACCTCGACACAAATGAAAAAAATGCTCTACTTTCCAGAACAAAAACAAAATTTGAGTCGCTGTACAGCTTGCCAACACCTGCAAGTCAACCTTGATGACAAATACAACAACAAAACCAAGAAAAGAGAAGTGCTTGTAATATACTTTTGTATTGACGTCTTTGATGAATGTCAAATAAGAGGAAATGTAATGGAATGACAGGTATCGTGTTGCCTTTTCACTAAGACACGGATACTTTTATTGGAAAAGTAAATAAAAACGCCTTGATGTGGAGGTGACACACATATACAGACTCAACCGGGCATCTAAGTATTTCTGTTGCTTGTGCGTCTAACTTAATTGCGTAGCACTTGAGTAAGTCTTGACATAATACTCAGGTCACAAAGAAGCTGCTGTCTGTTAGACCTACAAGTTCATACGAATGAGAGTAAATAGGTAGACTAAAATACGTGTGAGTTTGCAAGAATGTCATGTCACAAAGTAGCAAGTAATTGAATATGAGAGAAATTGTTTTTTTTTCTGCTTTCATCAAGTGGGGAATTAAATGTGGGAGTGATGATGGATATACATACATGGTATATACTTCATGCAACAGCGAAATTTAGTGCATAAAATGTGGAGAAAAATGTACTTATCATCACCACGCTGATCATTTATATCTATACTTTATAGGGTTTCTGGCCTTTTCTTTGGGGTGTTACAATTATCGTTGCAAACTTAGTATACCCTTTTCAAGGTATAAAAATATCAGTAAAATACTCTTCTAAGAACCGGCTGTACAAGAAAAATTCCTCAAAAATAGCAAAAGCAAAGGAGGGAGCAATATAATAAGCCAGAATTCAAACCCTCAAGCTGTCTGCGGACAAAAACGAGCAAACGAGAAGACCAGCAACAACTTCCCTAAATATAGACGAAAGAGAAGTAGACTAGATAGTCGTCAGTATAAAATCTCAAAAAACATAATGTTATATGATCACTTCAAGAGAACGAAGAGAGAGAGAGAGACAAGATCGTTAAGCAGCGAATCACAGGTAGACATTCGGTTCAAGAAACTTTTACGTTAGTTCGTGCTTCTTTTTATACTCAGGCTTAATTAAATAGTACCAAACGATTTTTTGTCATATTTGCGTCCTGGCTCCAGCCAACAACTTTGCTTTCACCAAAGAAAAACTGTAAAATATAGCGTATTTTCTCTTTGCTGGTATCCAGCTTTGACGCGTGTTCAAATAAGACTGAAACAAGTAATCACAAAACTCTCTGAAATGCTTTTTTAGTACGAAATCTTATTTTTCTAACGCCGTACAGCATAATCCGATCCCACCTAGTATAATTACTACAGATATCTATTAAAAAAAGTATGGATTTAATTTTTTTAAGTCGAATACTAACGGTTAAGATCTCTATATTTGTCTTTCACATGAGCCTACCATAATCTTACCACACATTTAAGGACCTAATTAATACTTTCACAACCGCAATGCGCGTCCGTCAAGAGATAGTTCACAAATTTGCAAAAAAAAGCAAAAGATATCAATCAATTAATTGTTTGTTACACTCACCTGTAATCCGCCTTCGCATAGCAATGGCCGAGAAATCGACACTGCAACGTATTGCACTGATAGGCTTTCACCTCCTGCTGCACCTCGTAGGTAATATTGAAGCCATAGACATCCAGCAGGCGATCTAAGGCGCGTAAATGTGTGCCATCCAACGATGGCATCGTGAAACGTATCTCAAGATACTGGCTGCTAAATTGCACCCATGCCACCTGCGTGACGTCATCCTCAGTGAGTGTGAACACACGATGTGCCGGCACCTTATAATCATCCGAATAGTACATGTACTCGGTGAACTTGAGGCCGCCCAAAACATACAATTGCGTTAGGTAAACGATAATTGAGATGTTGGTGCTGCCACCACTGCCGCTCGCGCCAGCCGATGCAGATGTAGAAGTGGTAATTGGCAGCTCAGAGGCATCAATTACCCACACACACTCGATGGGTGTTGCGAATTTGTGCGGAAAATTCGGTGTCTGTATGTTGCCGTAGCGCGACTTGAGGATGCCACCACAAAGCGAATTACTACGCGGATGATGTGAGACAGCCGAGGACGAACTGCCGATACCGGCAAATGCGAAGGCATTCAAAATGTTGTGACCGCTTGTTGTTTGCTTGCCGCCACCACTAAATGGTGAAATTGCGAAATTACCCGGAAAAGGTGGCGGTGGTGGCAAGGGCACAGCGGGCAATGGATTATAGTGCACTGCTGTGTTACTGGCGCTGGAATACGAGGCGAGGCCGCCTTGAAGACCGTTCTGCTGCGTTTTGTGTGAAGGCGCAGCTTGTTGCCTCTTAACGCGTGGTGCCACCCATTGTGGACTTAATGCAGCTCTGATATGGTTTATGGGTGAGTTGAGTGTCTGCAGGGTAAGAGAAGATGTAAGTGCTTTGCCGTCGAGTTTTGAGTTGCTGTGAGTGCTAGCTGTGATAATTTGTTTGGAAAATGTAGGCAGAGTAATGGTTTTCGCATTCACATGGTTTTGTGTTGCTTTTCTCACATCACTTTGGTTTGTGACTCTGCTAAACTGCACATCACTCTCTTTTTCAGCCGATATATACTCCTTATTTTCTCTGTGCACTTGATCTATTCTCCAAACTTTTTTCGCCGCCTTTTCCTTATTCTGATATAACTCATCTCGACTTCCTTTTTCTTTTATATTTTTCTCCGCACCACTTTTAACGTTCCATCGCTCTTTCGCAATTAATATTGGCTCTTGTTGCCTTGGCTCTACGATATATGCTTGTTCGCTACCGATTTCTATAAATCGTCTTGTTATTCTGTAGTCTCTCTTTAGTTGAGTTTCTTTACTGGTTGTTGCTGTCGTGTTTAGTAGTGTGGTAAGCAGCAGCATACAAAGCGGCAACTTAAATGAGTATGCCGTCATCGATCACGTTCCACACGTTCACATGCACTCGGTGCTCACTTTATGAGCTATTCCGCTCTTTGTTAGCTGCAAGAGGCAATGTTGTTTTACTATGCTCTCAGACTGTATGAAGGTTTTATTATACGAACTGTAAGACGGTATCAATCTTCCAAGAAATACCTTGGTCATACATTTTTTTATCTGAAATGGAATAAATTTTAATTTAATGATAAGAAACATTAATTATTTTATAATATAAGTACAACAAAAGGCATAAACGATAACTAGCTATTAAAAAACTGTAGATTACCAATTTTGCGGTCGTCTAGGTATAAGCTTTCTGAAGAGAATATGAACAGTAATTATTGATTAGAATCACCTAAAATTTTTTTCACTGCAATATATTTGTCTTTAAAAAAATATAAAGTATCAATCATAGGATTGATTGGCTGTCAAAAATAAATGAAATCGGTTCAGACATCCCCCCATCTTTTAAATACCGATTTCCATATCTCTTTTTGACTATATACTATATAAATTGGTTAGTGAGAGGATATCTCCTTAAAATTATATAAGAATGGTAACTTAAAAATGTATATCAAGTATTAATGAAATTGGTCAACACGTGGTTTTTCTAGGCGCAATATAACCAATATAATTATATTTGTCGTTCTCATTTCCTATATATATCGTTCAGAATTACAGATCTCCCGGCAAAATGTATATATATATCGGTTAATATATATGATATCGGTTTATAGCGGTTCACACCTTTCTCAAGCCTTCAAATATCGATTATGTAGACAGAAGTTTATATTAAATATTTCGAGTTTCTCGAGTTAGGAATCGATATCATATATTTATGGGGTATTTAAATACCAATTAAAAAATATGATGTCGGTGTATACCTTTCTCAAGTCTCCCAATATCAACTATATAGAAACTGAAATCTTTACTTTCGAGACTTGGGTGGCTTGAGAAATGTACGAACCGATATTTGGTGCTTTTATCGTTTTCATATATCGAAGGACTTAGAACGAAACAAGGCGAATATGTATCCACATTTTACCCCAGTTTATACTTAATAATGACCGTTAACTTTTTATATAAGTACACCTAATAATAATACTATCGAATTTTCAACCACATCCCTCCTTACTTTCTATTTTTATACTATGAACAAGTTATATTAAGTTTGTCACGAAATTTGTAACACCCATAACTAAACGTCGGATCCGGGTGACGTGTCATGTCCGTCTGCATAAATACAAACTAGTAACTTAGTTTTTGAGATATTGATCTGAAATTTGGCACACCCCTTTTTCGCTCCAAGACGCTGCTCTTTTGTCGGAGCCGCCGATGTATATGAAACAAACTGACTAATCGAACCCAAGATAAAGCTATTTTTATATTCATTTATGCTACAAGAAATTTTGTTGTAAAGGGTATAAAAGGCTCGATGTAGCCAAGTTAACTTTCTTTTTTTGTTAACCTTAAATTTAACATTTTATTTACTTCTCTTTCTTCCTTTGGGTGCCTATAGGTATGTATACTCAATCAAACCAATCGCCTTATTTCGCTTTTCAAAGTCACTCAAAAGTTACACCTGACTTCATTTCACTACACAATATATGGCAGAAAATAGAATAGCAATTTCAGATACCGCTGAAAAAAGCCGGTGACATTTTTTCAACTTCAACATACAAAGCCGATATACATAACCCATAAAATTACGAAAGGCAAAAATATACAAATGTTCAAAATATTTTGCGCGTGCTCAAAATGCCTGAGGGAAACGTGAAAGTGCTTCCTGACACATAGGTGCCACATATACGCATATAGGTATGTAGCTAAAAAATATGTATTCTAACCTAGAAAACTTGCAAAAAATACGCTATGCCAAATTCACAAACGAAAAACCAACTAAAATCAACAATTGTTCGAATTGTTTTGTTATATTCTCTGTGGTTACAAGCGGCTAACGTGCTTGTTTAGCCTTCACCGTTACAGGCAGAGTTCAACTGACGTCCAACTAACGCGAAATGTAAAATTTTTGTCAGTTGTACATATGTGTAAATGTGTGTAAAAGCGTGTTCTAACTATACTTTTGTGTGACAGGAAGAAAGAAGGGAAGCAAAAACAATGCATCACTCACTAAAACGTGCTCACCTAGTTTACCTCCAGCGGAGAGTGCAACCAATATGCTGCTGTTTTAATATCTGGCAGCTGTATTGCCGTCAGTCAATGTCAAGCAAATATTGCAAAGTGGTTTTTTAGTGGAAAAATATTTGGCCTATTTACTAAAACTTTGTGGCATGCTACAACTTAAATGTCTTAAATTGTAAGTGAAGTTAGAATTTATGGAATAAAGTCACAGTTTTTAGTTCTTGCCACACATATTTTACAGTTAAGAATTTACGTGGTTTTGCGTAAAATAACAGCGTAATTAGATTTCGAAAACATATGTTTTTGTAATTAGCAGAGTGTCAAAACTCCAATTAATGGTATTGAAATGAACAAAAAGGCAAGCCTTGCTTTCTAACTTTTTACTTGACATTCATCAGACATTCGGTTGACAGTCCTAAGTTAACAACCATCTGACTTTCCTTGACAGCTGTCATCTGACAACTCTTCCACAGATAGCAATCTATCATCTAACATCCGTTCGCCAGCTGCAAGCTGACCTTCATTTGATAGCTGCCTTCCGTGATCTTTTTGGCAGCTGCCATTTGACATGCATATGATTATCACTTGACATCTATAATCTGACATCCATCTGACAACCCTTCACCAGCTGTCCATCTGTCAGACTATCATCTGACATCCCTTTGACTTCTGACAAGCAGCCAATTGACAACTGTTTAATAGCTGCGATCTGCCCAACATTTGATAGCGACCTTCTGACATCCACCTGACATTCATTCGCCAGCTACCATTTAATCTGTAACTTTTACAGTTCTACAGTTTATACACTTAAAGAGACGATTGCATAAGTTTTTCTAGACAAAATTTTATCTACCATAAAACCTTCGTTTGCGAAAACTTCAAACCAAAGCTACACCCAAATTAATTATTCACTACAATCAAATTCAGCTTCCGGTTTGGGGAAACTCAATATCCGCGTTTAGTTAAATTTCGATAAATATTTATGCAACTAAGCTTCGCAACAGGGGAAAACGCCCGCAAACAAGCAAAAAGTTTAAAGGCTGATTAATTTAAATCAGTTTTCGGCGTACAAAAACAACAGCATTTGAAAACTTCCACTAATGCCGGTAAGCGAATGTAATGCGAATCAAAGCGCATTTGCTGTCGAAAACCCAGAAATTTCATTAGTAATGAGTTGGCGCGATTATTTGCCATACAGGTAGGCAAAAATGTATATATGTATATGCATACAGCAACACACACAAGAGACGAAATTGCTTGGCATGTCATGAATTTAAGCTCCTTACCGCACGTATTACAGGTGTGGGTGAAGGCGAAAAATAAATAATGCTGAAAATAGAGACGGATGCTGGCAAATATGTGCGTAGAACGTGCGATATCAGCAGACCGATGAAGTTAGGATATGATAAAGAGAGAAGTTACGTGGGGAAAGAGTGAAAAATAAACAAACATTTCGAAATTGAATTAAAAATACCCAATTTTACGAAGATCAAAATTTAAATTTAAATTGTGAAAAATAAAATAATATTCATGTAGGGTATATGCTGTAGTATTAAAGAGTAAAATTAATAAATTCATTTAATGGTTTCCAATTTGCTTTTGTGTGCAAAAAATACATATAAACTGGCGTGAGAAAGTTAATATAATCCAGGAATACATATTTTGGTCACCATGTAATCAACGAAGGTAGGTTAACTTTCTCCATAAACGTCCAAGCTACATATGAGCGATATGTGATGGAAATGAAAACGTTAATATGTGTGAGTTAACTGGCTTTTAATTTTGTACATATACATTACTCAAACTTCTGGAAATATGATATGAGATTAGACTTCAAAAAATTTTAGCGGGGGCGTTCAACGTTCTAAATAAAAATTTACTAACGCAAAAGGGATTAAAGCAGTGTGGCAAAAGCGTTCAAAATAGGGTTGCAAATAATATATCAAAAACATCTGAATTGGCATATAAATATTTTTAATTTTTTTTTCTGTAATATCGAAAATCTTAATTAAATATAATATTCAAATTTCTAGTCTCAAATACAGCATCGAAAAATTTAAAATAAAGTTTTAATTTTTTTTAATCCAAAACCCTGATTGAAAAACAAATATTAACGATTTTTTTTAGCAATAAATTAAAATTTTGTATATGTATATATTTTTGAAATATATTATTTTTGTGCTCCTTTTTTAAGTCCTAACCTTAAAATGTGGAAGCTATATTATCGGCTTCATCCTGTCGAAAGGGAGAAATACTTGGGCCTCATCCTTAATAGAAACCTATACTAGAAGCCCAGTGTTGAAGAGAATGTCAGGAGCCTTGGTTGCCTTATATTGCTTTAAAGGAGCCGTTGGGAAGCGGTGCCATTCTACATATAGCAATAAATTTGTGGCTGACTCTAGGGACTTCGTTGATAAACAACAGGCTTTTTGTTCCATACCGAGGAGTTCTGAGCATCAGAAAGGACAAGCGTCTCTAGCTGTACAAGTGAGATTTTTCGTGACCGCAGGAGAAATCAGCTTATTTGCCTAACCTAACCTAACCTTAAAAATCATAAAAAATTGTTATTTTAGTGGCATTAATTTGATTTTAGTTTATTTTTTTTTTATATTTTGACCAAAACAATTTTTAATTTTTAATTCAAATATTTTTATAAAAAAAATTTATTTTTATTTTTTTAATAATTAATTTATTACTTTAATTTAATTTTGTATTCGTTCTTAATTAAAAAATGTATTTCAGTAGAAATTATTTGTTTTGAATAAATTTTTTACTTTGAAAACAAAAATATTTAAGTTTTGTTTAAAATATTTGAATATAATTTTTCAAATTTATTTCTGTGCTTTTTTTTATTTAAAAAATCAGTGAAATAAGTTGTCTTCGTAATTTTATTTAATTTTATTTTAGATTTTCCTTTTGGTATTTCGACCTAAACTTTCATAAAAAATATGTTTACTAACAATCGTTTTGTTCCAAAAAATTCGACCCAGCCTCTTCACCGCCAATGTGCTTACACTTAAAGTGTAAACCCACCT